TGCTTCTCTGGGGGCTGAGCGTTTCCCTTCAACGTTTGTTCAAACTTCAAACAACTTGCCGCCAAACAGTCTTGAGGATCAACCTCTTTCCTTTAAAATACACAAAGGGAAAATCTTCCCGAAATAACTTTATATCAACAGGTTCCTGCTTTTCCAAGGTCGAAGTACTTGGAATTGCCAAGAACTTCAGATCAATCGTAAGGCTGGGGCCCTTGGCGCACTGCCAGTGACGGTCCAGCTCCCAGGGCCCCGGCACCCTCGCTGCCTTCCTCCTCATTAGGCCCGCCAATCCCCAACACACACGTGGACCCATAGCATCTCTCTGCAGTGAGCTTTGAGGGACCTAGCCAAGAGGGTAAGAAAATATTGATGACTAAACGAGGCCGAAAGCCTTGACTTCACCTTAATGGGGTTGAAGCTCTCCACCACCAAGTAGATCCTGCGTTCCCAAACCCGGCGGGGGCGCAGGATGATGAACCTCAGCTGTGCGGGCTTCAAGCTGACCCAAGAGCCACCAGACGGCGTGGGGCGGGCGAAGGGCGGGGTGTAGGCAAATGCAACTTCAAGGTCAACGTGCCTCTGACTGGGGCTGGAGAGCGGCCAAGGGTGCACGGGCCTGGAGCGCTGGGGGCGCGCCCTGCTTGCGCGCGCTGGACGCGGCGGAGGAGGGCTCGGAGCTAGTACTCCTCCGCGGTTTTGCGACAGAAAGTCCCTCTGGGTCGCCGCAGTCCCTGCCTGACGCGACCTCCCAGGCTGGACTCCGCCGCCTCAGGGTATGCGCAGCCCCCAAAGGGTTTCCGTCACTCTCAGGGAATGTGCTTTTCCTGAGCAGCTCCCAAGCGAAAGTTCATGTCATTTTTACCAAACTTTGCTTTTTACTTTTTAGAATGTTCTCAGATAGATAAATTGAAATGCAGACACACAAGGAAAATTCTCCCTTTCAGAAAACACAGATACTCAAATCCCAGTCTTTTGGGGTTCTCCTAACTTTTAAATCTAGATAAGTAATAAGCTGTTTATCAGGGCTATAAAAATAACAGAGAGGAACTCCTGGCTTTGCTCTTTAATGACGGATTAGATCGTGTTCCGTTCTGATTTTACGTGGGTTCCTATTTCAAATTTCAAGCAAATATTAAGGAAGACGATCACTAAGAAATGTAAGTGACCTAAAAAATTAGTTTGGTCTAAAACTCAATAGCTCTGTAATTTCAATGCGGTGCGGCTTGCTGAGTATTTAAGAGTCCTTTCAAAGCCGTAGGTGTGTTCCTTCCTGCTGTAACAAAACTGTATTCATCTTTGCACAACATGCGCTGGCGTCTGTAAATTTGGTACTCAACACTCGGCCAAGAATGCTCCCTATCCTGATATGTGTCTACCAACCAGCCTCAATGCGCCAACCAGCCCAGTACCAAGAGCGCCCTGCTGGGTGTCCCTCGATGGCGCCCACCCCACCGTCTGGACCACGGAGTGGCCTGAGCTGCCCCACCATGACTGGGCAGAGGAAACAGTCCCCTGCGTTTCCTGTCCCCCAATCGCTTCGGTAACTCACCCTGACCTTCTCTGAAACTGCACAGACTCAGGGGATTTCGCTTCCAATGTTTCATTTCCAGGGGTCATCTGTGGGTCAGAAGTTTTGGCCGCGGGCTAATTTCCCACCCTTTCTTCCCAGGCAACCAGAAATTTTTTGTTTTGGCTTTTCCTCTGCTCTCCTTACAACTTGCTAGTTATAGCAGGAACCCAGGCCCTTTCCCCTCTTCTTGGCAGAGCAAAGTTCAAGCGCAGAGCTTTATGGAGCTCTTACGGCCAGAGGGTGCTAAGTGAGCAGGTGACGTCAGCCCTTCACTGGCCCGAAACCAGGCGGCGGGATCCCACTCAAGTGAGGAGAAAGAGCCTAGGCCGTGACTTAGGGCTGGCGACGATTAAACCAGGTAACGAGACACCGGGCAGATGTGTTTTCATTGCCCTGTGAGATAAATGCAGCGTTAAGTGCCTGACAACTTCCCAGAAGCAATCAGCAAAAGTTTACGAGTGCATAAACCTCAAAGACCATTCCCCGAAGGTTGTTATAAGGCCCACATTTAAAGCTCCTATAAATTCTTCGGCACTTTCCAAAATCTAAGTTTCCAGGGACTATTAAGCAGTCACCTCCTCCGAGGAGACCAGGGGGATTTTCTTGAACCGCCAAGGAAAGAGGTTTGGGGCTCCTACTGAGTGAAATAAAGCTGCGCAAAAGTTTGTTCCGGAAGTTTCGATGGCGGAAGCGGGGAGCGGGGGAGAGGAAGGAGGGCGTGGAAGTGGGGTCCGGGAAGGGCCAGGAGGTGCTCTTCGGGACTGAGTTATCTGACAGCGGCGCAGGACCGGAGTCTGTCGGGGGTCGCGGATCTAGCGGCATCTTGGCCGCTTTCGGCGGTGGCCCCAGCTTGGCCAGTCCGGTCCCGCAGGGCATAGCCCCATGTGGCGCTCGTAGCTAAACCCTATAGCTCCCACCCGGCCCGGACACGGTAGCTCCTTCACCCTTCTAGTGCCGACTGAGTGGCCGGCAGGAATACAGGCGTCCTGCGGAAAGTGCCAGCACTCTAGAAAGGGGAGCCGGAGGGAGAATCGAGTCAGACACTGGAAACGTGTCTCCACTCCGCCCAGAGCCACGACGGTGCCAGCCTCGGTCCTCCCCTAAGTGGCCAGAGTTCTTTGGTCAGTTAGTATCAGGCACACACGACTCACCTATGTTTATAGAGAACCTTTGTTTATGAGCCCGGTGACAACAAAGCTGCTAATTGAAAAACAGTAACAGGAGCGTGTCGTTAGCTTCCTAAAGCTGGAGGTTAATAGCTGCGCGCGCCGGGGGACGGAGGCGGGAGGGAAGCGGTGAGCGAAGGGCCGCCCCGCACGTCTACGTGCTTTGGGGTCCCCAGGCGAGACACGTGGGCCGGCTCGAGCCTTCCAGAGCCGCCGGCCCGGGTCCCAGGCTGGAAAACGTCCCGCAGCTCGCCTGCTCTTTCTCAATCTTTGGGATCCAGTCAATCCCAAGGCACGAAGGTAGCTGATGACTGCGTAGCATTTCTGTCCCGGTGAGACTGAATCTCAGGCAATTATTTTGAAAAGATACCGCTGGGCCCGTTTTCCTCAGGTGAAAATGCAGACGTTTCTATGCCGTCCTCACCCCTCCTTTATGAAATAAGGCGCCCAACTGTTCTGATATTACCATTCAAAAACAGGTTCTGTGGCGAACCTCATTTGTGAATCTATTACAGAGATTAATAGATTATTTCTCCTTTTTCAACTAATTCTCAGTGGGGAAATTTAACCATATGGTAAGGAAAGAATTAGAATTTCATCACATTAGAGCAAAATGTAATGAAAAGAGTCCAACACCTGGGGCCAACTCTGAAAGCCACAATTAAAAGGATTTTAATGAAACCAGAGAAACCAAAAATTTCATAAGCTTCAGTAATTCTGCCACATAAGAGAGATTTACTGGAGGGTGTTGGGAAATATTGTTTTTACTTATGTCATAAGGATGAAACCCAGCCGCTAAATACCATGTGCTCCCAGATACGGGACACAGGAGCTGGAAGACCGCGTGTACCACTTCCCATCCGAAGAGGAGCACTTGTTTTCACACTTCGCCTTCCTCTCCCTCTAAGAACCGAGGCAGACCCAGATGTCCCTGAATGGCTTCCTAGCTATGGCGGCTACGTTTCTGGGTAAATAAATGTGCACAAATGTCCTCCTTGGTGTGTGAGAAGATCTGACTACCGGTGAAGTTGACTCTTCCGAAACAGCTGGATTTTCATCTTGAGGAAAGTTTGAGCAATCAGTTTCTTCCTGTTTAGGAAATCCTGTGCTTCATTAATCACCATCACTGTAGCCGTTCTTTGGAGACGGCTGCAAAAGCACCCCCCTCCCTTTAAAAAAATCTAATGGGCTGCATACGCAACTCGATCTTCATTTTCTTTCTCTCCTCCTCCACCCCTCCTCTCCCCTCTCCCCGAGCACCGCCTCAGTCCGGGTAGGAAATGGGCAGGGAGTGGGTGAGCGGGGGCGGAATAAGGCAGTGTGTTCGGGGGGGGGGGGGGGGGGGGGCGATCGCTTTGCTGTCTTACTAAGAATCTTGGGTGAATTTGGGGCAAGCCAGCGGAGACACCACTTCCCCCCGAAAATCCCATCTCCACATCCAGACCAGAGTCATCCTAGGAACAGGGGTGGAGTATCAGCCTCCCCCGGAAAGGGTCATGTAGCACAGGATGAGACAGTAGTGGCGAGGGAAGGGCAGTGGGGAGGGGGGTGCAGTGGGGGGAGGCGTCTGCTTTCCACGGGACTCCCAGGCTTCGCCGCCGATCTACAATTTGCTGAAGGAGCAAAGAACATCCTCGGCTCTAAGTAGGGCTTTTAGTGTGCTCATTGATGAGTGAAAGTCGCCACACATGTCAAGCTAAAGGCAGTTGTTGGGTTACTAACAGGACCCAGCGCCTTGCAAACATATGCGCTAAGCTGTGTATACAGATGGCAGGCAGAATAATGGAGCAGGCGCCTTTTATAAAGCTCTAGCTGCTGCCTGTCTTCAGACCTGGGAAATGAAACTATTCAGACTCGCGGCCAGATAGCGCCTGCGATTGTTTGTTACCGTTTTAATCCTATTAATTAAAACGTTAACCTGATTGGGTAGAAAGCTCTGTCCCAACAGGCGACTCTTCTTCATAATAACCTACTCAGAGATAATGATGTAAAAGACTCCCCCGTCTGTGGCGGCGGCTGGTTGATGGGTCCGGAAATCTCTTGAAGGTGAATCCAAGCAAGATAAACGGTGCGGAGAGAAGGCGCGGGGCTGGGCTCAGAGCGGCGGCGGCGGCAGCGGCGGCTCCACTCCCTCCGCGCCCACCCTCCCACCATGCGGGGCCGCGGCCCATGGTGAGCCCCAGCAGGCAGCACCATCGGCTGGAGACGAAGAAGAAGAAGAAGAGGAGGCGGCGAGCGCGGGGGAAGGCGAAAAAGAAAAAGAAGGGGAGAGGGCTGCCAGCAGCACCGGGACCGACGCGCGCACCAGCCCCAGAGCCCGGCTCGGGCGCGGCTGCGGCGCCGCCCGACTCCCGAGCCCAGGCGGCGGCGGCCGGCGCTGGACCATGGAGCGCGGGCTGCACCTCGGCGCGGCCGCCGCGGGCGAAGACGACCTCTTCCTGCACAAGAGCCTGAGCGCCTCCGCCGCCAAGCGCTTGGAGGCGGCTTTCCGCTCCCCGCCCCCGAGCATGGACCTGTCCCTGGCGCCGCCGCCTCGGGAGCGCCCGGCGTCCTCCTCCTCGTCGCCTCTGGGCTGCTTCGAGCCGGCTGACCCCGAAGGGGCAGGGCTGCTGTTGCCGCCGCCCGGGGGAGGCGGCGGCGGCGGCGGCGGCGGGGTGGGCGTCCCCGGGCTGCTCGTGGGCACCGCCGGCGTTGGGGGCGAACCTAGCCTGAGCAGCCTGCCGGCTGGGGCCGCTCTGTGCCTCAAATACGGCGAGAGCGCCAGCCGGGGCTCGGTGGCCGAGAGCAGCGGCGGCGAGCAGAGCCCCGACGACGACAGCGACGGCCGCTGCGAGCTGGTTCTGCGGGCCGGCGGCGCCGACCCGCGGGCCTCCCCGGGCGCGGGAGGCGGCGGCGTCAAGGCGGCCGAAGGCTGCTCCAACGCCCACCTCCACGGCGGCGCCAGCGCCCCCCCGGGGGGCCCGGCCGGCAGCGGCGGCGGGGGCAGCAGCGGCGGGGGCAGTGGCGGCGGCGGCGGCGGCAGCGGCGGCGGCGGCAGCAGCAGCAAGAAATCCAAAGAGCAAAAGGCGCTGCGGCTCAACATCAACGCCCGGGAGCGCCGGCGGATGCACGACCTGAACGACGCGCTGGACGAGCTGCGCGCGGTGATCCCCTACGCGCACAGCCCCTCGGTGCGGAAGCTCTCCAAGATCGCTACGCTGCTGCTCGCCAAGAACTATATCCTCATGCAGGCGCAGGCCCTGGAGGAGATGCGGCGCCTCGTCGCCTACCTCAACCAGGGCCAGGCCATCTCGGCCGCCTCCCTGCCCAGCTCCGCGGCGGCGGCGGCGGCGGCCGCTGCCCTGCACCCGGCGCTCGGCGCCTACGAGCAGGCTGCCGGCTACCCGTTCAGCGCCGGGCTGCCCCCGGCCGCCACCTGCCCGGAGAAGTGCGCCCTGTTCAATAGCGTCTCCTCCAGCCTCTGCAAACAGTGCACGGAGAAGCCTTAAACACCCCCCACCCCCCGAAAAACATAAGACCGACCCCAAAGCTAGAGGAGAGTGAAAAGCTGCTCCCCACCCCCCTTTATTTGGTCCTCTCGTAGTCGTGAAACATTTGCAGAGAAAACAAAAGCAGAGGCGAGAACTGCGGAGAACTATCAGAGACAAACGGGACTTCTGGCCTCGACATCCCCAGAATCTCGGTCTTCGGGGTGGGGAGGGAGGGAGGAGGGAGGTGGAGTTGGGATAGAGTATGGATGTCTTTTTTTCTCGGAAAAGTGGCAACTTTGGTGGCAGCCTAGACCGCGAGGAAGCAGAGTTTTCCTTTAAGGGTAAAAAATAAGTTGAGAAGTAGGTGTTATTAAGCGTGGAGAGTATTACGTGGCAAAATAGTAATCCTACTAATAATTGTGAATTTGGCCAGTGCTGAGGGGGAGAGGAGTCGTCCGGGGTTGGGTGGCTTGTGGCACGGAATATTCATTCAGACAAATCAGAAAGGGCACTTGAAAATAAATTTTGATTCTGAGCCAGGAGAAAAACTTGAAATGTAGATTTATTTAAATGAAGAAAAGAAAAACAAAAAACAAAAACAGGAAGAGACACGTTGCTATGAAAGACTTGTATTTTTTATTGTCTCTGAACTTTAATCCTGTGAAAATGCTCAAAAGTTTTGGCAAGAGTGATATTAAAAAAAAAACTGACTGTGGCTGACAGAATTGCATTTAAAAATATTTATGTGCACCTTGTTACTTTCCACTCTGCAATGATGTATTAACGATTCATGGTATTTATTTGTTATTCTTCAATGACCCTTCCACATCAACAGTATTTATCCTGTGTTAAGGTCATGGGGTCTTATGTGCAGATTTTTTTTAATGCCTCTAAAATTCTGTTTTATAGATTAACTTATATTGTGTGCCAAGTGTTTAAAAGGGTTTATTTGCCAACAAGTATGAAGAGACATACTGATGTATCTGAGCTGCTTAGGTTTATCAAAGGTCACCTGGATATCTTCAGCTGCATCATCCCTGTATTTAAATTGAGCTTTAATAAATTGCTTCAGTCCAAAAATTACAGGAAAGGTGTATTCTTAATTGATGAATGAATTGATCTCTTTTTTTGAAAGGGGACTCCTTTGCATTCTAAAAAGGAAAGACATCACAGCAATAGATCCTATAAGTAAGAACATGCTAAGCAAATATTTTTCCAGGCTGTGCTGTGCATTTTTAAAAGGTCTAATTTAATTGCTTTTAATATATGTATACATATATAAGTTATTTTAACTGTGGAGAATTATTTAAGTTGAAAGACTGGTTTGATTTGCCTATGGTGTGAAATCCTTTGTTATTTTTCTAAAAAAATTTTTAAAAGAAATAAAATAAAACTAAGGAAGAGCAAGAAGCTATTTACCCAAAGCGAGCTTTCAGTTTTAGTTTGCATGGCTGTTTGCCTGCCTTTCTATCCTACGAAAATCAAGAAAACCTTTTTTAAAAATGGAGTCCTGCTATTTTCCACTCCTTGCAGATAATACTAATTCAGTTTGTCAGGTTGGATGATGAGTGGGGAGCTATGATGGATCTATTGGCGGGTTTTGGATGTGTAAAGAATGATATATATATTAAATAGGTCAATCAGACTATGACAGCTATGTACAACCATTTGTATGTGTATCTATGTCAGAGAGAATCTTTATTAAAATATTTTGATCAAACATTTCATTATGCTGTGCTTTGTGGAGGGAGCAATCACCTCCCTTCTGTGTTACTCTTTGCTTGAAAGGTAACAAAAAAGAAAGGAGTTTCAGAGAAGGTGGAACTAAAGTTTTGTCAGGGATACACAATTAGGAGCAGCCCTAGTTCACTTGTTTACTTGTTAAAGGACGATGGCTGGGCCTGGTCATTGGAGGATTGATAAATGGGGTCAGTGGTGAGACCCAGAGGAGGTCCAGAGCTCCTGTTTGCTGGCACGAACTTTGAAGGCCCTGCCCTCCCTGGAATTCTTCTCCCACTCTGTATGGCATTGTTAACTACCATGCCAGGGCCCATCAGAGAGGGTAAAGTTTCCTAAAGAGTTTTTATCAAAATTTCCATCTCCAACTTCCTAAAAGCCAAGGAAAAGCAATGGATTTGGATTCTCTGAGGAAGGATTGTATTGTGGCTTCTTCCCCCTGCTTTTTTTTTTGTGACAGAAGAATCAACCAGGTTGAATTATATGCGTAAACAATGCCCATAGAGATTTTTTTAATGTTCTAGTGTTGCTTGTTAATGAGATTTGTAAGGGAGTATGTGTGGATTGGGTTGGGCGTTGATTCTATTAAAGAATGTCTGTATAGGCTTGTATTTGGACTTTAATAATGCCCTCAAATTTAGAAGGTTTGATTTTTATTGTGGTGGAGGTTAAAGAGACAGTGATGGTGAAGTTATAGTGTTTCCTCTGTAGGCCGTTTGCTAAATGCCTTTTGGTCTGTGTAGCCTCAACCCATAATGATATCCCTAAATGCCATCAAACTTAGTGGGGGGTGAGGGAGGGTATTTTCTGCTCCACTTGCCATCAAAAAAGATTAATCAGAACCTGTAACTTTTCAGAAAATGTAACAGCAAAGGGCCTTGAAGCTGAAGCCCTCCCAGTCTGGGAGTGGGAGTAGAGGGAGGGAAGAGACCGGGGCAGCCCCCAGGCAGGAGGAGACCCGTCTCTCAGCATTTACCAGACAAAGCCTGGGTGCGTCTAATTATGATTATTAAAACAATTTCCATGACGATGTCTAATATTATGTTAATTTGAAAACAACTGTGTATGAAAACTGTCTACTATAATACCTAAATTCATTTAATGAAACACATCGTTAAGGCAATTAAACCTCCTGGATGTGATTAAGAAACATAATTATGACACTGTTCTGCGCCATAATTGGGTGCCTTTAATCAAGGGGTAAAGTGATCAGCAACACAGCCATTAGTTTGTATTGTTCTGGCCCTGCTGTCCATCATTCTGATTAGGAATTAACCACAGCCGCCATCAGTCGAATTGTTTTTTTTTCTTTTTGCATGTTAACATTGTAGGGGACACATTCGCTGCAAGATTCAACTGCTTAATATTTCTCATTATTAAGAAGGCTTCCTTGATGTATTCCCTCTGTAACCTCTGTGCTGTTCAACTAGTATTAGAAATAGTACAAATAACAAATCTTGAACTTCAGGAGAAAAAGGAAAGCTCACCCTCCTTTCATCCTTTAATAACTCAGTCTCCAGCCCTTAGTCCTGAAGGAGACTGGAAATGATTGGGGGTCGGGGAAAGGAGAGGATGTTGAGAATAAGTCGGAATGTCAGACAAATATGTACAATTGTGCAAAGTAGCAGGGTTAATAATATTTATTTTCATTTTGCTAATTTCAGACAAATTAATTCTCTTTCCAAATCCAGGAGCTGACCAGCGTTGGGTTCTAGGAATAAATGTGGGACATCTAAAAGGGGCAGGGGAGGACTTTTTGGTGATTTACTTAGGTGGCTTTCCCTGCGCTAACCCCAATGTTTCCAGTTTCATTAGCAGCAGCTTTTAGGGAAGGAAACCAATGATTGAAGAGAAAATTCTTCCCACACCCGGCAAAACCCCCGGCCGCTTTCCGGGGCCCCTGGACTCCTGGATTTCAGCCCAGTATGGAAAGTTGGTCCACACACTTGTGGGCCCCAGTATGTCCTTCCAGTGTGCACCATCTACTTCGGGACTGGGTGACTGAATACCAGGGAATCAGTGTGGTCTTGCTGAAGTGCCCTTGGGCCAAAACAGAAATCCTGGACCCTAAAACTGCGGCGTCTGCCAGAGAACCTCGGTCAGCCCCAGAGCCTTCGTCCACCGCGCTTTGGGGCGTTTCTCCCGGGAGCAGGGGACGATCCCCGCTGCTCAGGTTTCTTAGGAAACTGACACTGGGCAGAGGAGGCCGAGCGAGGAGCCAGAGTCCCACCTGGGCTTTTATTCCACCGGTTTCCTTCTCTAACTTCTGTCTAATTTCAATTTCCTTCTCTAATTTCGAATTCCCATTTAGGTCTCATCTCCAGCTTGACATGGGGTACCTACAGGAGTGAAGCGTGTTGAGGCTTTTCGTGGACTCCTACAGGACCAGCAAATGATCACCTTCGAAGAGCTCACTAGTTACCCCTCCTCCCTCCCCGTGGTGCCTGTGTGTGTGTGTGTGTGTGCGCGCGCGCGCGCGCGTGTGCGTGAGCGCGCGCTCAGCAATGCGCTCTCCACTCTCAGTAGCTGGGCATCCCCTCCAAGACCCTGTGTTGAGCTTAAATTCCGCTCCCTCCTATGGCACCCGGCACCCATCCTTCCTGCCAACAGCTCTCTAGGGAGGGCCAAGGCTCCACAGGGTTCCCGTCTCCGCGCTCACGGCCCGGATGCCGAAACCCAACCTTTCTACGCGCCCGGGACCCTGAGATTGCTCCAGCATGAGTGGCATTGACTTTTCCAATGTAATGACTTATGAAAGATATAATCATGTGTTAAATTGAATCCTCCGTTTAACTGTTAATGGTGTGCTCTGGGCACATTTACGTATTAGATGCTATGGTAACTAATTACCACTAGGAAAAAGGATAACACACTTCCCAGACTTTGAAAAATAATGATGAGAGTTCACTTCCCGGCTCGCAGCACACAGTGGCGGCTCTGCCGGGCGGAGCGGCAGAGCGGAGACCCGAACGTGTGCCGGTGGAAGGAGGGAGGTGATGAATCCTGGTCGGGAGAGGCTCCTTGGTAAAAGCTTTCATGAAAATGCGATTCAATGGGGAAGTGAGGGATGGGGAGGGCCCACTATACGGTGCTGCCTCTAAACAGAATTAAATTGCAAAACAAACGTCAGAAAGAGAAGTATTCTTTTAATTAAAATGCAGGTCAGGCTGAATTAATCACGTGCCAAGCAACTTTACATGAATTAACATTTTTTGTTGTGTGGGCAAAATACATGAGCCCATCTCCTTCAGGGTCTGCGTTGGCGCTTATAACTTGGATGCCCCTGGATCCGCCAAGCCAATGAGCTGCGGGTTGATTTAAAGCTGGCCTTTTACATCAGACATTGGGCACAGTCGAAGGAAACGGGAGGGAAAACCAGGAGACAGCAACTTAAGGGTAAAAACAATTCTCAGGGTAAGAGTCTTTTCCTCTCCCCGCCGGATCTCTCTGGCTCTTCGAATCGGTTGATGAGTGTTTACAAGAACCAGGGTTCTGTAGACTGTGCAAAATAGCCAGGTGTCTGTTTCGCCCCAGGGCCAGGGCCAGTGTTTGTGCTGGGACCCGGGAGGGCAGGAGGAAGGAGGGGGCGGCTTTTCCCACAGGCCAGCCTGCCAGCCCAGGGTTGCAGACAGAATGACGTCCACAACACGAGTGCCCACCGCGCTGCTTTGCTCAGGCTGCGCCCCGGGAGGGACTCGGGATCCGCAGCCGCAGAGCACCCCTTCTCCTGGTCCTTCCCCTGCACTGACGTCCTGGGCCCCTTCTGCGGGGCGCAAGGCCCTTCAACCTCTAAGTGCCTAGGGACAGAACGCGAACTTCGGGGGCTCTGCCTCAAACTGTCTTTCGAGGGGAGGCACTAGGATGGGGTTGTCCCCTGACCCCCGTGGCCTGGAGAGTTCACCTGCAGATGACAGGCTTGTAAGAAGCACCCCGCAGCCGAGCCAATCCCGGGAATTCTGTGAAGGCGTCCCAATTTTAAGCCCCAAAGAGCTCATCGCTTCCTAGCAAGGCAAAGAAAGTGTGCTCGCTTTCCTTGACGCTCGATTTTGGTTAAATTCTATCACTTTTCCTAAATGACTCGTCTTAACATAATCCAGGAGACTTGTGGACTATTGCAGAACTATCAGGTCCCCCTGAGTGCGTGTGCATGTGCCTGTGGGACTTTTCTTTCTTTCCTCTCCCTTGTGTTCCCGAATTCCGACGATATAGAAATACAGATTAGAGAGCTCTGGAAGAGAAATTACTGGGCTGGGAAGGTTAGACTGCAAAGGGAAAGAGGGTTTTGCGGTTACCAGCCCTCCAGCCCCCAATATATCATGGACAAGCCTATCTTAGAAGTCACCAGGATGCTCAAGATGGGGAGTTGGCTTTTATTAGGCACAAGGTGATGTCGTTTTCCTTCCCAGCTTGGGAAAGAGTTAATTCTTTCCCAAAGACGACAGTTGCCCTTGTCTTCTCAACCTGATTCAGAGATGCAATAAAATATGAAGCAAATTTATGATCTGTTTCAAGCACTTTATTGCTGTATTTTTAAATTCATATATGCACATATAAGAACTATGATCTGTGAATAATTTGAAATGTGATACTAGAATGATACATTTTAGATAAAACATAACCATATCTTTATATAATTGTCTCAGATTAAAAGAAAAAAGAAAAATAGATTTCTAACGTGGCCCAAACTGAAAAACTAATGACAACCATAAACTGCTAACTAACCATAAATTAACATCTTCATCAAATGCTAAAATGGTATCAGTGGTTATATAAAGCAATTATTATTTCTCTTTCTAAGTTTTAGAATAAAGTTCAGGGATATTTAAAGGACCCATTATTTACCAATGCTTCCCAATCTTAAAGATTTCATATTTTATTAGGAGGATGGTTGCCACTCAAATCTACTATGGTAATAGGGATGTTTAGAGATGAGAATTTAGTTTTAAACATAAAAATGCTTCATGGCCTAACCTCATTTTATGCAT